ATCGTGTTTGGCTTTCCTCGAAAAGTACTATCCTAGAATGATCATTCCTCCTCATTCCTATAGTAGTTACCACCAGCATAACACATTGGTCACTTTATACTCCACCTTCTAGTGTGTAGCATTTCTGTGTGTCTTACCTCCTAGACAGATGATAAACTTTTAGAAGGGACCCGGGAGAAAGTGAAATAGTGTGGGAAAAGCCTTGACCTGAGAATTATGAAACCTGGGTTCTAGCGACTGTATTGTCCTGGGCAGATGAGTCTATGACCATCTTCAGTGTTTCGCTCACAATGCTTATGCATTTATGTATTTTGTTTTCTCTCTTTCTCCTCCCCTCCCATCCCCTCCCCTCCCCTGCCCTCTCCTCTCCTCTTCCTCTCCTCTCCTCCTTCTCTCTCTCTCTCTCTCACACATACACACACACACAGACACTATACTTACTTGTTGATGAATTTCCTTACCCTCATTGTTTGCACAAGTGCTTAGGACTATGCTTTGCACTTTAAACGCTCAATAAATGTTGAACTTAATTGAATAGTAGTCATTTAATAATTTAATATTTGTTGCTGTTGTTGATAATGATTTTTGGGCTCTTGTGTTAGTTCCTGCTCTTTTGCTGTACTTCTCCCAACTTCCTTGTTCCTAACAGATGGGAGGAGCTATCTATGTCTGGGTATACAAATTCATCTGGAGAAGGGATCTACATTCAGTGGATAGGTCAATATTTAATTTTAAAATTTTTCATGTATAGTAGATTGAATTTTGGAAGAGGAACCAGGAAGTCTGTTTTAGTTTTATAACAACCATAGACTGTCTTTCTATTGAGAAATCACATTTTTCAGTGCATAAGAATTCTCATTTATGGGCTTGATCTACAAGAAAACCTCTCAGCCATTAGAGCTATTCAAAAAAAGAATGAGTTGTCTCAGGTCTGAGTTCCCAATTCTTTGTCCTTGTATTAGTTGGATTAGATGACCTCTTAAGTCCTTCAAATTCTGAGATTATCTGTTTCTCTGATATACCTGTGGTATAATAAGCAAGTAGGCTAGTTTTCTTACGGAAATTTGTGATTATTTAGATTTTTAATACTTTGTAAAACTCTTTGGATCATTTGATATAAGATATTGGATCCTATCTTGCTGGTAAATGGCAGATAAATTTACTTTTTTTTTTTTTACTGAATTGTTTAATCACTACTTTAGACCAACATAGTAAACTGTTGCCCAATTTCTCCAACAGTAAATAAAAGAAAAGAAGTGCGTAATGACACATTTTTCAGTTTTGAGTGTTAACACTGAATGATTGATATATTAAACCATTACTTTTTTATTTAATGCCTTTTAAAATGTAAATTGATACTGGCTTTATTAATTTTCATGATTACCATTATTATTATTTTTTAAAATTATCAAGCACTTGTTTTCATATGTTGGGTCCTATGTAAAGATAGATAAATAAATGTGCTCTTAATCTTCTGTGAGCTTATTTTTTAAACTAAGTGATGTTCAATAAACGTTGAATAGATAAATTGATTAAAATATTAATCAAGTCTAGTTTTACCTTTGCAGAATGAATTAGAAAATTGAAGCAGTTATTTAGATGATACAAGGAATACCATATCCCCCACACTCCCCCATGCTTTCCCCAAAATATCTAAGTAATTGAGATCATTTCAGAAAGGTGATAGATTTAGGGTTCAGACTGAAACATACATTTGTATACATATATTGAGGGAATTTGTTTTTCTTGATGAATATTTGTTGCAGGAATTTTTTTTCTTTTTTTCTGATGGGGTATAGAGTTAGAAAGAGAGAAAATAGGTTTCTGTTCATTAAAAAAAGTGGCAGAGTATGTGAAATGTTGCATGTACTTTCAGATGAGGTCACTGTATTGTTTGTTTTACTTAACTATTTTGCTTATTTACAAGAGACCTCTCAAAAAGTGGGTGTAATCTGTAAATGTTTGTAATGTAAAAACAATAAATATCAATAAAATTTTAAAAAGGAGAAAAAAAGTGATCAAAGTTTAAAAGCAATTTAAAAACCCTCAAATTACTTAGAAAATTGCTTTAGTTTTTCATTTTGTTTTCTTAGTATAAACATAGCTTGAGTTAAAAAAAAAGACAAATCATAGTTTATCAAGTTTATCACAGGAGTTTGTAGGAATTTGTAGTCCTACATATGCTGACACAGAAAATCTCCACGTCTTATTCAGGAAAATTCTCTTAAAGAAATAAGTAGTTCAGGAGCTTCTTGAATGAAGAAAGAAAGGGAGAGTGTGGCAAACGTCATTTAGAAATGGAGTGTGGTCTGGGAAAAGATCATAGACCTCATGTGTTATGGACTCCCTTTGCAGTGTGCTTGAAGCCTGTGAACCCCTTCTCAGAAAAGCATAACAAGAGTGTAATGTGTGTGTGGTTCCAGTGATTGAGAGGAAAGGGTAGCTTTAGGAGAAAAAAAAATTAAAAAAAAAAACACACACAGAATTTTGCTAATGTAGAGTGAAAGAAAGCCTAGTGGCATTTTCCATGCCTTCTGCTTCTTGAGAAGTTGGTAGATGGTGAAACAGAACACGAAAGAATTGGCATGTAGAGAGGAGAACAGTTTTATGTCTATCTTGGTAGTTTGAGTTTGCAGTAAGGTATCACACTGAAGGTGGTGCGATGAATAGAGTTCTGCGTGTGAAGTCAGGGATATCTAAGTTCAAATTGAACCTTAGACAGTTGCAAGCTGTATGATCCTAGGCAAGTAACTTAACTTCTGTTTTCCGCAGTTTCCTTATCTGTAAAATGGGAATAATAATAGCACCTTACCACCCCACCCCCTACCTGGGAATTGTGAGGATCAAGTGAGATAATAATTGCAAAGTGCTTAGCACAGTGCCTGGCACATAGTAGGTGCTATATAAATAGTAGTAGTAGTAGTAGTAGTAGTAGTAGTAGTAGTAGTAGTAGTAGTAGACGACAATAGGCTTTGAGAAGCTAGATTTCAGGAGGAAAGTTTAGTGGTAGACAGATGGCCATCTGTTTCCTTTACAGAATAGGTTAAATTACCTGGATTCCTATATAGGCTAAAAGTGAACCTTCTAGCTATGGAGCAGTGTGATGTGGGAGAGGGTGCTAGATGTGGAGTAAAAGAACTAGGGGGATGTTCAAATCCAAGTACTGCTGTTTACTACCAGTAGGACTTTGTTCAAGTCCCTTATTTTTCTAGGACTCAGGTTCCTCATAAGAAAATTTATTTGGGACACCATCACAAGCAGCCAACTACTGGGAACTGCATTTACTGATTCTTGCAAAGAAAATACTATGTATACAGCAAAAAATAATAATAATAATAGAGAGAAGATACTGTGATAAGCTATGTCATCTACATTTCTGGAAAAACCATGGGTTGATTGTGGGTACAACTAGAAAGTTGTTTCTAATTTATAGTTCTAGTATAACAACAGCATAATAACCAAATGGACATTTTGATTTTTACATTAGGGAGGGCTTCTATATTAGATTCACTTCTGTTTTACTTTTGAGCAATATGAATAGGCTACAAAGGAGGCCATTAAAGAGGAAATTGGGTTGTTGTTTTTTGTTTTTTGTTTTTTGCTTTTTTAGCTCTAACATGAAAAAAGCCCAAGGGAGAGTGACTTACTGTAGTATACAACATACATTTTTCCTGCCATAAAATGGCATTTAAAAAAAAATAAACCTGTAATTAAATTTCTCTTTGTCATGTTACATGCTGTTTCGGAACTAACATAATGCACTTACAGAGAAAATTAATGCCATTCATTAGTATAAATCATAAGCTTATGGGACTAAGCAAGTCCCCATATGGATTTGAAATTGGGAGTGTTAAACCATATTTTTTTTCATATTCACTAGTGAACGATGACCCAATAATAATCATGGCTGGTGGGCTTCTTCAGTTAAATAAAGGATTGTATTGGAAGGATTCAAAACCTAGGGCTTTGTTCTCAGGCTTTAATATTTTAATGAGCCTGCAGGCTTGGCTGCCTACGAATGAGCTGGGATTTCTAAGCGTGTTGTTTAATGTTAGCAGTTGTAGAAGGATGTTCATTAGGAAGCTCTTGTTTCAGCTTCTCAAAGAAACTCTCCATTAAGAAAGATCTTTCAGCAGCATGGAGGGCCTGAAAGAGAAAGAGGGGCGGGGGGGGGGGGAAGCTTTTAGCTTCAGGCATTAGGGAATATTGTATCAGTAGCCTTCACTCCAAAGTGTTGCTTCTAAGCAGTAATTGGAGCAAATACATCTCCAAAAAAAAAAAAAAAGATTAATACAGAAGGACAGTGGCTGTTGTCCCTGCAAGAGGAGGGTCCTTCATCTTGCAGCTGAATCAATATTACAACTAATTATTTCTAGTTATATTTTATGGGTTTGTAAGACATTTCTTTTGTTCAGTATATAAAAAAACCTATTGTTTGATCAGTGACTAATTATGATAAGTAATTTGAAACATTCTTGATGAAACTTGTCTGTTAATTAACATCAACAGCAAATGGAAAATAACAGGACAACAAAGTGTTAGTACATCCACTGTTCTCTGAGATTGATGAGATCTTTGTATGGAATTCCCAATACAGGAAAGCTGCCAATTCGTTTAAACACACATACACACATACACACATACAAAACAAACAGGTGGGAAAGTCTGACTCACCATGAAGGAAAATTTCTTGCAGAGTTGAACAAAGAGCTACTGAAACATTACAACTGAGGGGGTGGTTAAATAATTAGAGCAGGACAGAACACAAGATGCTTCTCTTAAAGGGTGTATTTACTCCTCTCTCCTTCCACCCCTTTAAATCTTGATCCCTAAGACCTTAGTGGTAGACCATCCCATGGTAGGGTGACATGGTATAGGACAAATTTGGTTATTGAGGGTATAGAGCTGCCCAGTGGGCAATTTTAGGAATATTGTATTATGCAGTATTGCTATTCAGTTCAACTCAAATGTCATCTTTTTTCTGTTTTTGGTTCTTTTAGATTTCTACCTGGACAAGGACTGGTACTATACCCACAGATAGGAGACAAACTGGATATAATCTGCCCAAAGGTGGACTCTAAAACTGTTGGCCAGTATGAATATTATAAAGTCTATATGGTTGATAAAGACCAAGCAGATAAATGCACTATTAAAAAGGAAAACACACCTCTGCTCAACTGCGCCAAGCCAGACCAAGACGTTAAATTTACCATCAAGTTTCAAGAATTCAGCCCTAACCTCTGGGGTTTAGAATTTCAAAAAAACAAAGATTATTACATTATATGTAAGTACAAAATGCAAATATTATTACTGATTTATAATATTAAGGATAAGCTGAATGGGTTTGTATGCTTTTAAAATTTTTCATAAAATGATTTCTTGGTAAATCTGTTTCATTGAGGATATCTGCGATCACATACTTAACTTTGAAACTCAATTCAGTTTATTGCAGTATAATAATATTGGCTAAATGCACATGTGTATTTCTAGATAAAGATTGTGTGTATACATGCATAAAATGAGAAAAGAGTTTGCGTAATAACTAGTAGCCACTTGAAACATTTGTATATTTTTGTTTTCTTACTAACAAAATCTATTTTAATGATTGCCTATGAATTTTTGATAGTTATATCTTGCCTTGAAAAAAAAATTAGTGGGTCTTTGTCTTAGACCTTGTGTTTGCTTTTTACCGTGATCATCATGATTATCTTTTAGTTAAAACTGGCTTAAGATATTTGATATGGAGAGCTAGAGTCAAGGCATTAAGATAATTTATCTTATTTTTGTTGACACACTTTGGGCCTTAACCAAATGGTATACAACTGGGAGAATTATGTACAAACAGTACAAATCATAGGAACCCAGAAATGCCAGCTGTATTGCTTATGGAACAGTCTTTAAGAGATCACACATAGTATGAATTTTCACTTTGGTGGGTCAGGTCAGGTACTGCTTTTATTAATAAGTTTTAATTAATAAAATTAATAGCTCTGCAGCTATTTAATAAAATCAACATACATTAATTGGGGGCCTAAAGTCAATAAGGCACTCTGCTGTGTAAGAAGATAGTATCAGAAGGTCAGGATTTGAACTGGGTCTGTGGAATTTTGGCAAAGTGAAATTTTACAATTATTCAGATACTTTTTTTTGGAGGGGAGATTCCTGTAATATTGAAAAAAAAATTTTTGTTTGATAGGTACACATAATTATTTAAATTTTAAATTTACATAGGCCTTTATTCTCAACTCCTAGTAAATCTTTTAATCAAACCAACAAATATTGAGAACTTACAGTATACAAGGTTCTATTTGTACTAAAGGGATAGGGACCAGGCCTGTGATTTCATTGAAAAAGGACACAGTTGAGAAAGGAAACTCCTGTTACCAATGAATAAATGATTTGCCTAGGATCATATAGGTTGTGTCCCAGGCAGGACATGAACCCAGGTCTTCTTTGCTTTGAGGTTGGCTCATAATCTGTACTCCACAGTGCCTCTCTCTTTTTTGTATTATAATGTCTCTAAGATAGAGGGTGTTGAATCAGAACCTCCCAGTACTTTTTGCAATCAATTTGGAAACTATTGTTGGCTCTCTCATTCCACTAGGCTACCACCTAGTTTTACTACACCAAGTTAATACTTTACTGGATGTTATTCCAATTTCTACTGGGACAATCTGGGCAAATAACAGATATTTCCTAATATATTTTGTTGTAATCAAAGCAAAAGCATCAAAACATTTTACAGCTGAAATGAAAAATAGTACTAAAATTGCCTTCAAATTACTGTGTAGTTTTTGTCTCTTGGGCTCTTATTGAACCTGTAATGCTCAGCTTTTAAACCAACTTAATTCAGAGTGATACAATCAGAACAAGTCACACAAAATAAAATCGGGCAAAGTGATATTGTAGGTTAAGGGACAATTGTGATAAAAGAAAATGAAAATCAATCTAAGGGATGAGATAATCAGATTAAGGAGGAAACATATAAAAATAACATCAAGGGATTCTTTTTTTTTTTAAGTAAGATATAGTTACTGTGTAAGTGAAAACACTAATGCTTCAGAAATGAAACTCGTTGTGACTCTGACAGTTTGAACTTGGTGTGGTTTGCTTTTGACAAGGTGGTGGAATAAGACTATTTGGTAGTAAGTGGTTCAGATGCACAGTGTCATATCCTTTACCCAAAGGTAACTGAATTTGAATAAATTCAGTTTTTTAAAAAAATGCTGCCTAAGGGTAAATAGTTTAGAGGAGACCAGTAATAATAGAAGATATTACAATTCATCCATCCATCCATTCATTTATTCATTCATTCATTCAACAAACATGTAATGAGTTCCCACTCTGGTATTAAGGCACTATGTTATAGGCTGAGGAAAAAATATGGATAAATGATGGCAGTGTCCTCAAGGTTTATAATCTAGTTAGGGGGCTTAATATTTAATGAAATGATTCTCATGATCACTCCAATTCTTTTTTTGAAACCCATAGAACTTTAAAGTAACAAACATGTTGCTCTCCGATTGAACTTTGAGTCATAATAAATGAGTAAAATTGTTATAGGTGATTTTTAGTTGGGGTAGATAACCCTTATATTAGTTTTATTATTTAATAAGAGAAATAAAACTCTGAATTACATGAAATGTTACTTATGGAGCCCGAGGATTTAGAGCTATTAAGGGACCTTATAGATGATCTAGTCTAACCCCCTTATTTTGCTGATGAAGAAACAGATCCAGAGAGGTTAAGCAACTTACTCAAAATCACATCAATAGTAGTAGCAGAGTTGGGATTTTGCAGTCTTTCAAGTAAATAAAATCAGTTCACCCATGTGTCTGGAAAAGTGAGTATTGTCACACAATCTTTATTAATATGGTGAAAATGGGGTTCTACTTAGACCAATGACATTTCAGTTTTTGAATCAGTATGTTAGACTGAACTATCATATTATAGAAATTACACACAAACGCACACATATTTTATGACTTGGTGGTGGTATCTGAGTGACTGGCTTGTGAATAGTGATAATATAAAGATGATGTGATAATGTGGCTTCAGTATTTCTTAACCTGGTGGCAGGAGGTCATAGTAACTAGTTTAAAGAACTGAACGGTTGTTTGTGTACCACTTAGTATATGAATATCAAATAATTGGAGAAAGTATCTCGGGCTCTAAAGTTTATCAAAAAGCTAAAGTAACCAAAAGTTATATTCTCTTATGGTTTTTCCCCCCATCTCATTGTTATCCTCATAAGATTGTGAGAACTACTGTTTTACAGAACTTGCCGTAGCTTTGAGGCAGGGCCCAAAAGTTTGTTCTGCATCTAGAAATCAGATACAAAAGGAAGGAATGACATTGATTTCATAGGGAAATCTCATTAAAAAGTGCTTTCAAATGTGCAAGTATAGTTTAATTCATTCTGCCCAAGCCCCCTTGCAGGCAGTCAAGGGGAAAAGAGAGGTGGAGAAACGAAAAAGAGTTAGAGGCTTTATGGTCTCACTACAAATAATCTCAAAATTTAACCTTAGTAAAGATTGCGATTTTGCCCTAAATGAAAAGAATTGCATCTCCCCCCCACCTCCAACATTCAATAAGATAGATAGGTAGAACTTTTATCCAAGAAGGGGCAAGCTTGGAGCCCACATCTTTTTTTCAGCAAGCAAATTTTGGAATATGGATATAGAATAGGGAAGAAATAGCCCTCATCCATTACTAAAAACAGATAACTTTGTGAGTTGGAAGACATGTCATAGAGGATGGTTGAAAAGCAGAAGTTGTTGCTATAGGTACATGTCTGACTCAGTTTCATTGCTTTTTGGGAGAGGGGAGGAGAGATAGGTTTGTTTGCTAGTAACTATAATGCATAATGTAATATCTTTACTACACTGAATTTGGTTGAATTAGAATAAATTCAGTTGTTTAAATGCTGCCTTGGGAAAAATACTACCAAGTAGATCAATCATAATATCAGAAGACATTAAAATTCATTCATTCGTCTATTCTACAAACATTTGGATGTGGTTGTGGTGGGGGCCTGTGTGGAGAGAAGCTGTAACAGGGGCCCCACACACAATGAGATGTGGTTTGTAACTGGTCTCGGTGGAGCCCTGATATGTTCAGAAATGAATCTCTCCAATATGTTCTTCTGGCGCCCAGGGTCCCAAGAGGTCCAGCTGATGGATGGTGAGAATGGCCATTGCCTATTATTGAGGCATCCTTTCTTCTACTTCCAGAAAGAACTGTGTTCATATATGGTACTTTGAATGTCTAATTTCAGGATGTTTATGACTGAATTTTCATACTGAAATCTGTACACATTGTTGAAAGGAACTTAGGCTACATGATGAGATTTCTAGGTACCATGAATCTGTTGAGTTCTGTTTTGATATGCTAGAGAAAATGTAGGTGCTAATTCCTCTTCAGCCCCACAGAACTGATTTTTATGTAGGCCTCACAGAAATGGAGGTACAGATGGAAAACAACTTAAAACTCTAGTCTAAATCTAAATGTTAATTCTTTTGCCTTTCCATATTCTTCCAAGGCAATGGAAGGAGAATTTTAAGATAAGAAATTATTACTTTCCACAGAAACCAAGGTGTTTTAAAATTATTACTTCTGATATCAGGACACTCACAAAATGGTACTGTATTAGTATTTTTTATGATGCTTAGAGAGCAAATACTCTGTATTTTAGAAGTAGGCAGATTTTTAAAACCATGGATCTTTTATTAATTCATTCATTCAAAGAGTATTAATATGCTCAGCATTGTGAAAAGGGGAGTACTGTATATACTTAACTCTATATGATTCTTCATAATAACCAGGTTTTAAATACCATAACAATGAAAAGGATTGTTCACTCTCTGCAATAGAGGTAGGAAGAGAAAAGAGTTTGAAGGAGAATATGATTAGCATGGTTTGGGGGTAATCCAGAGTATCAATTGATTTATTAATTAGTATACAACAACTCCCAAATGAAATGTAAACCAAACATGAGATTTTTTTAAATTTCCCAGTGAAATTATTAACGAATTTCTGGCCCATTATAATTAAGACCTTTGATTTAAAGTGTTACCAAGTCTTAAAACACAGTTAGCCATTTTTGGAGGAATAAAAGGAAATCATGTTTATTAGTTGAAATTATACTATTAGACCTATAAGGTATCTAACATACTACATTAGGAAAAGTCTTTCAGAAACTATGTGGAGCCTCATTGTCGTAGCTTACATTTAGAAGAACATTTGCTTTGGCATCCAGCAAAACAATATATGGGGTTTAAAAAA